TATATAATTAATTAATTAATTAATTAATAATATTTTGAGTCAAAACGAGCTGAACACAAAAGAACAAATATTTATTTGTATTGTTCATGTTTGGCTCGTTTTGTATGTAATACTTGTGTCTGATGAGTACCCGTGTCTTATATTTTCAATAATATAAGTGTCACGAGTCCATATCATGCCGCGAACACATGTAAATCCGTGTTTCATATCACTCTCCAATAATATACGTTCGGATTGATGGTGGCATTGCGATGACATTCACAAAAATACCATCATAATATCGGCACAAAACCTACAAATTAGACTTTAAGATTTTCTTTTTTGATGTCCTAAAAGCAGTAGTAATCAATAAATTTGGCCATACATAAGGCTGTCAAAAAAGCTCGTTGTTCACGAACAGCTCGTGTTTTGCTCGTTCGTTAAGTAAACGAGTCAAACACAAACAAGTTCTTAAAGATAGAATTATAAACAAGCCAAACACGAGCAGCTCTTTGTTCGCTCATGTTCGACTCGTTTTAGCTCGAAATAAAAAAATATACATATAATTATTTATATAATATATATTTATATCTATGTTTAAATCGTAACTGCCCTTTGTAATAATGTGGTTGTACGTCTTGTTTTGCATATATTTGATCCAGGTTATCCAGCATTTTACATCTATTTTTTTCAGTTTAATTTTAACAAGCCGAACACGAACACACTGTTCACGAGCCAGTTTCGAACACAAGCTGATTTCGAACACGAGCCGAGCCTGAGCGAGCCTGAGCTCGCTCAAACTCGGCTCGTTTACAGCCTTGCTATACGCGGCCACGGAAGCAAAACAATTTTTATATTTATTTTTATCACAATCAAGAAATTTACGCAAGAAAACATTTACATCACTTAAAAAAAAATAATTAACGTGACAATAAAATGCATATAGATGTGAAAAAAGTATCAATCATGCATGCATGCACATCATCTAGAAGCAAGCGTTCATTCATGTTACAACACACCATCTAGCCAATTCGCTACAGAGATAATCTAACAAAGAACATCAAATTATTTCATAATATAAATTAAAAGAAAATGATCAATAAAAATCTTAAAATTCCAAACAGTACGTACAAATTCAAATCTAACTCAACGGGTCGAGTTTCAGACATAGCTGTCGATCAGCGACTTCCTCATCTCGTCGACAATCATATTTGGATGAGCTTCTCTTAGTTTAAACACGCTCTCGATGACCGAGAGCTCGGTCGCTGTGGTGTCCAGGCCGCAGAATGCAGTCCAGTCATTGACAGCCATGCCGGCGGCAATGACCTCGCTGCCGCGGTTCACCGTTCCCGCCACGAGAGGTACTTGAAGAAGCGTCGAAAGCTCGTCAAGGTCCTCGATGGACGTATGAGGATGCACCTTTCATTTTTAAAAAGAAAAGTGTCAAAATTGTTCCCTGACTTTCTATCGGGTGTCATTTTAGTCCCGGGGTTTATAAAATTATCAAATCATTGTTAATGTGGGCTGAAATATTTTGACATTTTATTCCATTTTCAAAGGATAAAAGCATTGGTGGAAGTTGGGAGTTTACCAGGCCACCTTTGTTAGAAAATGCACAATAGCTGCCAACAAGAATGTTACCAGCTACAGTCTGTCTGAATACCTCCACTCCCAGAATATCAGCGATGAGATCTTCAGTTTCCTGAGATCCAATTAATCATGTCACCAAAAGTTAATTAAATGAAAGGAAATTTGGATGCATGCCAGACAATTCTTATGTATTTACAAATCTAACACCTAAACTATCATATTTATATTTAGGGAAATTTACATTGGTGGCACTCAATTCTTATGTATTTCCATATCTCACACCTAAACTTTCATGCTTATATACATAGAGTGTTGTGTGTGTAATATGAAATTTGAGGTATGAGATATGTTAATACATTAGAATTGTGTGCTATGTATGCAAATGCCCCATAAACCCATGCCTGAAAAAGGTGTATTTCATTTTTAAAAAGGAAATGATAGTGGTATTTTGATGTCAGATTCAAAATTTAGGTGTTATGCAATTAAATATGAATGATCAGATGTTAGATATGTAAATACATAAGAATTATGCAATCAAATATGTAAGTGAATGCCCCCTTGAATAGCACACAACTCTTATGTATTTATAAATCTAGCACTTTAACCATCAAATTTATAAATTTACATGCGTAGCACACAATTCTTATGTATTTACATATCCCAAAGGTAGACTTTCATATTAGCATAAATAGCACTTGGTGCTTTAAATCTATGCATGAAAAAGGTGTATTTCACTTTTAAAAAATGGTAACGGTGATATCTTTTATGTGATATTAAAAGTTTGAGTACTATGTGTAGATATGAAAGTTTAGGAGTACAACAACAAGCTTTTATCCCACGAAGTAGGGTCGACTACATGAATCATTTTTCTCCACCGTGTCCTATTGAGTGCCATATTTTTAATTAATTCTAATAAGTTGAAATCATTTTTATACGAGATACCCAAATCTTTTTAGATTTATCTTTACTTTTCTTAACATAAGTCGAATCTAAAACATGTAACCAGATCATCAAGTGGTCGGCTTTTAATGCGACCAAAGCATTTAAGATGACTGTCTCTAATCGTGTCTACCACTAGAGTTACACCAACTCTTTCACGGATATATGTGTTTCACATTTGGTCTCTAGAGGTCTATTTGGGGCAGCTGTAGCTTATTGAATAATCTGTTGATAAGCTGATTAAAAAAATCTATTGATAAGCTAGGTGCGGTGGCTATTACAAATTTTTATTTTTTTTTGGAAAAGCCAGACTGTTGTCAATAAGAGATGCGGTGTGAAAACGCTGTTTTCTGCATTTTGAAAATACATAAGCTGTCAAAACGCAGTTTACCCAAACAGACCAGATGCGTTTTCAAAACGTCACAGCACCAAATACCCAAACGGGCCCTAGGTGTATAGCAACTCATCCACCTAAGCATTCTCATCACAACAACACTTAAATTAGTTTTATGATTCTCTATAAGAGGCCAACATTCTGCACCATAAAATATTACAGATCTCACCACCATCTTATAAAATTTTCCTTTCAAGGCTTAGTGGTACTTTTCTATCACAAAATAGGCCCGATGCATTACTTCTAAAATTTAGGTGTGAGATATATAAATATATTATAAATGTGTGCTATTTATCTAAATGCTCCTTACATTTATACAATTTTGACGTAATAAACATATGCATAAAAACATGTACTTCACTTTTAAAAAGTAAATGGTAGTATTATGTAACAGTCAAAACTTCAAGTGCTATCCAAGTAAATATGAAAGTTTAGATGTTAGATATGTAAATGCATAAGAATTGCGTGGCATGTATGTAAAAGCCCACTTAAATAAATGCAGTAAATAAGAAATTTTCATTAATCATATTCGGATTTACTGGCTAGAAATGAAAGAAAATCAAACAATTTACCCGGTCGAGGTCGGGATGAGTGAGAGCAACATGGTCATTGCAGGCGATGCAGTTGCCTAAAGCAGACAATTTCTCTTCAATTCGTTGAACGATCACTTGATCTGGTAGACTATTACGCAGATGTTGAAGCTCTGTTAAAAGTATACCCAGACATTTATGCAAACAAAAGTCAACTAATTGTACACGATTCAAATATTAAAAATATCACAAAATTAACATTGTTAACTATGAAGTGGGTACAAAATATTCATTTGATCCCGAAAGTACCTATTCACGCAACAAAATGAAAATATTATGTATTTCTTTTATGGTGTATTAATGAAAGAGAACTAGCAAATCTTTCTTGACCAGTTTGCCATGGTTTCATAGCAAGCGCTTATGAAGCGTTTAACCACATTATATTGGCAAGAAAAGCATAGGCGGAACAACCTTAATTTTTTGTTAGAGATTTGACCTCCCATAATTTATAATTTTACCCGCTTCCCACTAAAAGAATGCCCAACTTAACTCCTTATCTATTTATATATTTCTAAATTTTTACAATATTTTTCAGTTATATATTTAATGGCATTATTTTGCTAGTTGTTTGTGTTTTTTTTCTAAAAAAATATTATAATATGAGAAATTTAAGCATTTAGTGGGCATTTACAGGAAGATATACCTTGGTGTATGTTTTTCGCTGATGATATCCTTCTGGAGGACAAGTCTAGAGATAGAGTTCAGGAAAAAATTGAAATATGGAGGTCAACTTTAGAATCTAAAGGCTTTCGCTTGAATAAATCTAAAACTGAATGCATGGAATGAAGTTTTATTAGTAGTAGATCTAGTGTCGAGATTATAAAAATGGGTGATCAAGTAATTATAAAGAGTAAATGTTTAGATATTTTGGATCTATTGTTCAAAGTGACAATTAAAAAGAGGATGTTATTAGCAGAATTCAAGTTGGATGACTGAAGTGGAGTAATGTATCTAGTATATTGTGTGATAGAAAATTACTGCTTAAACTTGAAGAAAAATTTTAAAAGATGGTGGTAAAACTTACGCAATGTTTTATGGCACAAAAAGTTGGTCTGTAAAAGAGAAGCATAAAACTAAGTGTTGATGAGATGAGAATGCTCGGGTGGATGAGTGGCTTTCCACTTAGAGATAAAATACGAAAATATTTCTATGAAAGGGTTAGAGTAGCTCCAATGTTAAACAAGAGCAGAGACAGTCATCTTAAGATGATAAACCTAAAAAGACTTGGGTCTGTTGCACTAAAAATGATCTTAATTTATGAAAACTAAATAAAAATATGACACTTAATAGAACACAATGTAGAAAAAGGAATCATGTTGCCGACCCCACTTAGTGAGATAAAAGCTTGTTATTGTTGTTGTATATATATGAGAAATTTACATATCTAGCCCATAATCTTTATGTTACATATCTCACACCTAAACTTTAATATTTTACATACATAACACTTTGGTGTTTCAAATCTATGCATGAAAAAGTATACTTCACTTTTAAAAAGTAATAGTACTGTTATTTTTTGTGTGATACTAAATATTTAGGTGAGATATATGTAAATATGAAAGTTTAGGTGTGAGATTTGTAAATACATTAGAATTGTGTGCTATGTATATGTGTATGTATGTATCTGTATGTGTGTGTGTGTATTATCATCATTAATTATTATATCATTTAAATATTTTAATTTTTACCCACATTATAAAAAGGAGCTGGTCCCGCTACTAAAAAAATATTTTCATCAGGAAAATCATTTCGTACCAAGAATATTGCAGGCCTAACACACAATCTACGACTAGCACCAGCAAAGGCAAAGTACTAGTCATGCTACAACCTATAGAAATACTTTTGCTCCATAGAAAAAGAGAAGTGATGCACATCAAGAACAAGTTGGCCAAATATTTTAGGAGTAAATTTACCGTTAAATTGGGTTCGTCTTACACCTGTATATATAATTAACAAGGGTAAGTAACATTGTAAGCATTTCCATGCCATTCGTTAAAATTTTTTTATCTTCTTTTGTTTGTCAAAATTCCTCTCTAAAATAAAAATAAATATATATTCTAAATGCAGTCCAAAACCACTGCTTCCTTTCTCTTTCGGTCATTTACAAATATAACACACAAGTATCATGTATTTACATATCTAAAACCTAAAGTTTCGCATTTACATCCATAACACTTAAAAATTTAGCATCGAATCAAAAATAAGGCCATTGCTAAATTTTTTTAAGACAAAATACATCTTTTCATGCATAGGTTTATGATATAAAAGTGTTATAGTTGTAAATATTAAGCTATAGATGTTATATGATACAAAAACTACGGTAAAAGCACGAGCAGTTTATGAATGCGTGTTAAAGAGTCCTCCTAAAGCACGAAGAATTTTTCTACCGCAAAGTTGAGAAGCTAATGCATTGAGCATATGCACACGTAGGAAGCCTCAACCCTATTTAAGCAATGTTAAGCTTTATAATATTCAAGTCTACCGTCCAAATCAAAATAATATAGGTAGAATAGGAAAAGGGCAGGCGCTTACATACACACCATACCACTCACACGCCTTGACATCTAAACTTTAACGGTTACACTTATACCACCAAAATCTTTCATATCACATCAAAAATACCACTTTTTTAACTTCTAATAAATAAAGTACACCTTTTGATGCATAGAGAAGTTCAGAGATAATAAGGAAAATCTATATTTGATTTTTATTGATTTAGAAAAAGCTTACGATAAGGTTCCTAGAGATATCCTTTGGAGAGTTCTCGAGAGAAAGGTGTTGATATGACTTATATTCAAGTCATTAAAGATATGTATACTAGAGTTGTTACTTGTGTTCAAACTGAAGAAGGATTGATAAAATATTTTCTTATTTCTGTTGGATTACATCAGGGATCGGCTTTAAGCCCATATCTTTTTGCTTTAGTTATGGATGGTCTTACTGGACATCTATAGGAGGATGTACCTTGATGTATGTTTTTTTGCTGATGATATCCTTCTCGTGGATAAAACGAGAGAAAAAGCCCAGGAAAAACTTGAATTATGGAGGTCTACATTAGAGTCTAAAGGCCTTCGTATAAGTAGAACTAAAACTGAATACATGGAATGTAATTTTAGTAGTAATAGCTCTAGTGACAGAAGTGTGACTTTGGGTGATCAATTTATTAAAAGGTGTGAACGATTTAGATATCTTGGGTCTATTGTTCAAAGCGATGGTGATATAGATGGAGATGTTAATAGTAGAATTCAAGTTGGTTGGTTGAAGTGGAGGAATGCTTCTGGGCCTTTTGTGTGATAGAAAAGTACCGCTTAGACTGAAAGGAAAATTCTATAAGACGGTGGTGAGACTTGCAATGCTCTATGGCGTTGAATGTTGGCCTTTAAAAGAGAAGCATAATAATAAGTTAAGTGTTGCCGAGATGAGAATGATTAGGTGGATGAGTGGCTTTACACTTAGAGACAAATTGCGAAATGAATATATTCGTGATAGGGTTGGTGTAGCTCCTGTGACGAACAAAATTAGAGAAAGTCATCTTAGATAGTTTGTTCACATTAAACGTCGACCATCTGATGATCCGATTAGGAGAGCAGATGTTTTAGATTCAACTTGTGTTAAGAAAGGCAGAGGTAAATCTAGTAAGACTTGGGCTTATTGTATTAAAAATGATCTTAATTTACTAGAACTAAATGAAAATATGACACTAAATAGGACGCAATGGAGAAAAAGGATTCAGGTAGCCGACCCCACGTAGTGGGATTAAGACTTTGTTGTTGTTGTTGTTGTTGTTGTTGTTGTTTTGATGCATAGAGAAGACGATGTGCATGTAAACATTGAAGTTTAGGAGTTCGAAGTGTAAATACAAAAGAATTGTGTGGTAGGCAGGCAAATCTTCCATCTATCAATTTGATCATAGCAAAAGTCAATGAAACTCGGTTGATCGAATCATTCAAACTATTGGATCAAGTGTGATGAAAAAATAGGGCTAACAAAATAAAACATCAGAAGTTGATTTGGAGGAAAATAATGAAAACAATCTCCTAGATTTAACACAAGCCAAATCCTGAAAACAGCCATATAAATCTGATCAAATAAGCTTGTTTGATTCAGATGGATGCAAATAAGCAAGAGTTAGCCATATTGAACTTTAAACAAAATATGAAGCAAAATTTAGCCCAAATAAAAATATCAAATGAACCAATATAAATTCAATCGAACAGATTAGTTAATTTGACTTCATGGAGCAAAAGAATGGAATGCTCAAACTAATCAAGGTCTTTGTTTTAAATCAATTAAACCATAACGATCCCAAATTCTTAATTAGTCCTAATTGAACTATCAACCCAAAATTAGGTTGCATCCTAATTTAATTTTCAGGAGGCAGGTCATAAGCCCCAAGGGACTAGCATAAACATATAAATTTTCTATTATTATGCAAATAAAAATATAATAAAAGATAAAAAATTTAAAATTCAAACTCATTAAAAAACCTTAAAATTTGACAATTTTTTTTTAAAATAAAACAAAATGCATCTAGACGTTCAACAAAAAACAAATAGCACAACTAAGGCTGTTAAAAGCTCATCACAGCAAGCAGCTGTTGATTGGCTAAGTAGCTCGTATACAATTATTTCTTTGCTGAAGCAAGTTGGATACAAACAAATATTTTGAACACAAGTATATATGAGCCAAACATGAACAAAACTTTGATTGATTGTATACAACTCATTTCAAAATAAATAAATAATCTAAATTATATATATATATATATCCAATAGATGATGCCCTACTCATACGATACATGGTACAAAGATACCCCAACAAAAAGATACAAAAGACTCAAAAAAAGAAAATATGCAAAAACAAGTGTCTATGGACGGGCAGTTTAGACATGTCTTTTCCTCTGGTTCTTGGAGCGGATCTAGATAGCAAACTTTGAAGTGTTGTTCCATTGCCAGAAGTGACCAAGATATCATCCATTAAGTTTTCAAGCTGAACAGTGTCCCCAGCCTTTTTCCTCCGCCGAGAAATGTAAACTTGTCATTTTTCTACTGAAGACAGTTCAGTCTGATCCGTAGAAGGAAAGTCAATTGCAACGATGAGTTCCTGAGTTTGTGTAGGACAGTCTTCCAATACTTGGGAAACACTTGCCCCCTCAACAGATAGTTCTACCAACTGATTAATAGCAGTAAAATGGTTTGTGTTTGGCTCTAAATCTTCCTCGTTAGTATTAGAAGAAACTTTTTCCGTCATCTGAATGTGAATGTTCACTTCATCCCCATCTTCAATCACCTTATAAAGGGGAGCCTGAGCAGCCTCCACGGTAGTGTAGAGCCTGAGAGGATAGTATGTCCACTCCAGTAGAAGAAGGGGCGGAGACCGCGTCCTGCCTTCCAGGGGCAACCACCTGACTTTCCTCCAACAAACGACCCTTATCAACATTCTCCGAAACAATATCAGTAGACAAACCATTTTGCACTGTATCCACCATGGGCATAACAGTAGGTATCACAGACAGTGAGGAAGAGGTTATAACCTCAGCAGAAATGTGCTCAGAAACAGGAGTTGGGACTACAGTCGACCGTAGATGGGGATGCAACCAATAACAGTAGGAAAAGCTATGACCAAACATTCCACAGTGGGAGCAGGATTGGGGATGAGGTCTCATCACAATCTTCTGCCAATAACCCTGATGAGGGGAGTCAATCCAAATCTCCCCTGGAAAGGGTTGAGTGATGTCGCACTCTACAAGCACACAAGCTTCAGATGGCCTGGTTGTATCAAGTGTGGGAGTATCGACCTTCAACAGTTTCCCAAAAGCAGTTGTCAATGTATAAAGGGTTTCATAATTGAAGAGATGCACCTTGAGCCCCGGAAAATTAACCCAAACCGGGATAATAGGAGATTCCAATTAGGATCAAAATCCACTGTCCATTTCAGAATTTTCATAAAGCAATTATCGATTTTGAGAACTTTTTGAGCAAAGAGTGGGTATAATCTGCGTCATTTGAGAGTTGAATGAGAACGTGACGGCCATCTAACGAACCAACTTTCCAACTCCCTGTGAGCTTAAGAGAATCGAAACGCTTTCTAATAATCTCAAGCTTGGAATTTTCATACGAAAATTTCCCAACAAGAGTATATCTATATGTTGAAGCCAATATACTTGTTTTCTCATCAGTGAGAAACAAAGCGGGTTTGTCATTCTTTCTTCCCATTTTTTTTAATAAAGGTATAACCAACTCCAAATTCATGTACATCATAAAATTCTTGAGGGAAGAAACAGGAACGGCCGCCTACGCCGGGAGTAAAACCCCTGGAAACAGCAGCAGCATAACTCGGGGTCATTCCCTCATATATATTAATTTTGTATTAATTTGCCTTGATAAATGAAAATATATATATATAAACTACACATCTCACAGTTTCTGCCACTCAAACTTGCTTAATTTAATCCCTTTAACTACTAATTTCTCAGCCACCATGACAACCACCATCTGCTCCTTGAACCTCACATTCCTCAGTTTTCTGTTCACAGCATTTACTGCGTCATCATTTAAACATTTTAATCCAATTGTGTATGAATCAAAATGTGAACTTAAAAACCGCAACATTGCGCTCTCGTTTGTGTGAGATTGTAACTTATGTGGCTTTTGTGCCAACTGTCATATAAAATGGAGCAACAATTAGTTATCCATCCTCGCCCACCACTCCATTGCTAGGTGTCATAAATTTTAATAATAACAATTAGTTATAATATTTCATACACTAACAATTCAGAATTTTCTGTAAATTTATTCATTAAAAATTAAGAATTATCCTATTATTTTGAGAAAATTTTAAAATATAAAGTCCTCATATACTCCTTCAATGAAGGAACAAACGGGTCCAACTATAAATATAATATCTTGAAATTAAAACTTCCTAGCACCAAAAAACATTAGATTTGACCAAAAAAGACATCGGAGACGACATAATATAATATTTGCAACATGTTCCCCAATTCTTCCAATTCAAACTCATCATTTTCTAAATATTAATCACACCAAATGATGTTGCTAAACATTGATCATAGGGGCGATTCCAATTGAAAGGTCAATGGATTGTAGGGGGGAAATGCTCCCCTCTAAAATTATGAACCCATACTAGACAAGCAGCATATAACCGTTAAATTTAAATTGTGCCCGAGTCGACCTAAAATATTACTTTAGACAGCCTACCAATGGCAGATACCCGCCCTCCACATCAAAATAATGCTATACAAAGTCATTAACATTCATCAGAATATACTACAACAAAAATTAGTATTTTGCAAAAAAAAAAAAACGTTATCTAAAGAACTTATAATGAAATGGAGCATTCAAAAATCATTATTTCAAAAAGACAGAAACTTCAAATGACTGTGACAAAAAATATGCCTAACAAATGAAAATAATCCAGAATGATAGTATTAATTAGCTACACAGAAAACCAAAAAAAAAAAATACTGTTTATTTTATCAATAAAAACGAAAATAGGTAGCGTAAACTAGAGATATATGTTAATATGACCACAATTGAGCGACTATAAAGAAAACCCTACCTTGATCAGTGGTTGAGTGAGGTACAAGAAGCCCATTCTTATTTCCTGTTGAAAAAATGTGGATTTTTTAAGAAATACATAAAAGCGCGTGCAGAAGCCTAAAATTACAGGAACTTTTCAGTACTTACCAGCACACATACGGCCAATTATTCTAGTGCCTGCAATAGAAGTTTTCACCACAGGAATAACATCAGCAAGCTCAGATTCAAACACGCTGCAAATGGGATGAAACATCGTCTTAGCACACCGAAAAGGGAAAAAAAAAACAGAGGGTGAAGAGAGGAGTAAATTATATAGATATAGACAATGAGTCAAAATAGTCCCCTGACTGTTTATACAGAGCTATTTTAGTCCCAGAGTCCATAAAAGAGCCAAACTAATTCCCGAACTCTTTAAATTGAGGCGAAAATTATTTCAACCCATATTAAAAAGAGTTGGGACTAAATTTGCTATTGACTCTGAATAAAATTACCCATCTCTATAAAAAGTTAGGGGATTATTTTGACACTATTCTCGTATAGAAATAGAAGCCTGTATCACCAAATCCTCAACGAAGCAACCTGTAGAAGTTCTCTGACCCTCCAATAGCAACCAGACAATAGGCATTCGTAAGTTTCGAGAACACACCAATATCGCAGCAGTTTTCAAACTGAAGTCCTGATGGTCATAATATATGCATACATAGGAAATTACACAGTTCAAAATCCCTCAAAAATCAAAAGCATATCAATAAAAAAACTAAACTAAGTTCAGCGTAATCATATAAAATAGGGCCACTTGCATATATAGCACAAAATTCTCATGTATTTACATATCTCGAGCCTAAAATTTCATATTTACACACATAGAACTCAAATCTTTTAATATAGCAATATTATCACTTTTAAAAGTGAAATACACCTTTTCATGCATAGGTTTAAAATGCTATGCAAGTAAATAGGTAAGTTTTTGTGTGAAATATGTAAATATATATGAATTGTGTCCTCCGTAGGTAAATTTCGCTATAAGGAATTCCCACAAACATACTTCTGAAAGAGAATTTCAAAAATCTTAATGTGAAGTCACGGTTTCTTTCAGTCTAAGACCAATATTTACATATTCAATGACCTCACAGGGTTTCAACATTAAATTTTGCCAGATCCCCATATGGAAGAGTTTCATTCAGTCTTTCAAAATTTCAATCCAATTCAGTACACAGCATGTATGGTTCTTATACACAGTAGCCGAAGCAACTGAATACCAAGTTGTTGACAAATGAAAAAGAAAGAAAGGATGATTTACATAAATATCACCCAATTTTTATGTATTTACATATTCCACCTAAACTCCAATACTTACATATATGCCAATATATCTATACATGAGAAGGTGTATTCCAACTTTTAAAAGCTAAAATAGTGTATTTTTATGTGATATGAAAGATTTAGGGGTATAAAAGTAAAAAAATTAAAGTTCAGGTGCTATATATATAAATACGTAGGAATTAGGTGGTATGATGTAAATGACCCAAAAATTAAAGGAAAATGAGCTCTCAAAGGCTAAATTATAGTAAGGCAAGTTCTAAAATTAAAAAAGGTAGCTATTTTCCCAACATTATGAAACCAAATTCATTTTAGTGGGATGTGTTGGTAGTTCATAATTTTTTTTTACGTCAACTTGATATTCTTATTCATATTGATGTCCACCCATTAAAGTTGATTTAGGTCCATAGACATCTCTTCTATCAGCCCAAGGAACAATTTTTCATTCTACACATGACAAGGATATGTATTTCCCTCTGAAATTGTACGCAGTACGTTATTTTAAAAGTCAATCCACAATATGTTTGGTATAGTTGCTTGTTTTACTAACTATTGTTCTTGCAAAAAGCATAACAAAAGCAACTTTTCAAGGGGGAAACATTCAAAGTCCGTGCCTTTTCACAGACAAAAATATTTATTTTCAGGTTATCATATATGCCACCAAAAATGAGTCATCTAGAGTAATAGAATAAGGTATCACCATTTGAAAAAACTAGGAAATATGGAAGCAAAATAGATAGCATTCATGACATTATGGAAACTTACGAGTAGCCATGATGGAGGATAGCAAACAAGAAATACTGAAAACCTGCAAAACAAAAACAATTACATTGAACAATTTTCTTTTATAAGTAAAAACAAAAACTTAATGCTAAGAGAATATAGTGGAGCCAACCGAGAGAGAAAATAATTTGCCCATGCATTTTATTCATGTTGACCCTCCCTCCCTCCCTCCCTCCCTCCCTATCCCATCCTATGAGGCTCCCTCGTGACTTTTAAACCCTATGATAAAAAAATTCATAAAGGTAAAGTCATCCTTTGATGTGAAAATTATGAAAACAAACCTTGGACCAAAAACATTCGTGAAATATTTAAGAGTCCAAATTTCAAACTCAAGGGAGTCCTTCATCAACAAATGAAGGGTGTGGAACCTCTAACACAAGTTGAGTATTCTTATACATTCCAAATTACAAAATTCCTCAAATTTTGGAAAGTTTGTGAACATGCCTATGAGGATGGAAAAACTATAAATTGAAGTGCCTCCTTAGTAGTATTAAATATTTGAGACATAAATCCTAGAAACTGTATCAACCACTCTTTACAATGGTACACTACACTAATTATCATAGTACATCCTAGGCTCAACTATGGGTTTCATCAAGTCATTTGACACTGTATTTAAATAGAGCCATCAAAACTAAATAAATGAAAATCTATTAACCAAATACATGCCTCTATTCAGGTAAGTCTTGAAAAATCTAATGATAAATTTGCATATACCATCATAGCCTTCAAGTGACAAACCACACCAAATCAACTATCCCTTCTCCAATAATGTAAGACTTATCAATTAAATCAATTGACCTTCCCAAATATGTAAAACCTTAGAAAAACCACTAATTATCATAGTGCATCCTAGGCTCAACTATGGGATTCATCAAATCATTTGACACTGTATTTAAATAAAGCCATTGAGACTAATTAAAATGAAAATATATTAACCAAATACATGCCTCTTTTCAGGTAAGCCCTGAAAAATCTAATGACTCATTTGTATAGACCTTCATAGCCTTCAAGTGACAAACCCACCAAATCAACTAGGCCTTCTCCGATAATGTAAGACATATCAATTAAACCAACGGTTCATCCCAAAGATGTAAATCCTACTATTTAAATAGAAAGGGTATTCACTACGGATATATGTCACAATAACCAAATGAAAATATGCTGAAACAAAACAAAAGATTCGATTAGGTCTTCTCATGACTCCCATAAATTATAAAGAAAATAAAATTCTCAAGCATATAAGACCTAACTGCATATAAATTCAGCCTCATAACTTGACTCCAACACTTCAGACGAATATGATAGAAGCTGAATAAATAAAGCAAATTGGGTCGAAACATTAAAACAATTGTGATGGCACTAAGCCAAGAAGCCCAGTAAATCACTTGGGATAATACTACACCACTAATCTAATTAAATCAATCAAGCATGCACATAGCTACTACCGCCAATTAAATCAATAAGTATGATACAATGATATAAAAGCCACCAATGTGAGTATAATTTCCTCTCAATATTTAAAAATTGCCAAACATAAAAAAAAAAAATTAAATGGGCTAGCACCTTGAGTCAAAAGCCTCAGTTTCCCTTAAGTCAAATAGGGCTTTCCCTAGGTTGTAAGCACCCTTTTGCAAATCAATCCAACTTGGACAATGACAAAGCCATTAAACATGCTAAAATCAATCAATTTATCATACAAATTAATGTACAGATGATTCTACTTGGTTTGGCCCAAAGCCTCACAAGCCAATTCAAAACAACTCCAATGTTAAGGGTATACATTTGCAAAGAGAAGAACAGCAATAACTCAAATTTAACTTGGGTATACCATTCATGGCAGCCCGTGATTAGTAAAACCTTTCTTTTATTGCAGGGTTTAAGAATCTCTAATCAACTAGAATCTTTTCATGATCCGGTACTAACTGAATCAAACTTCACAGCACATATGCACAATAGACGAATCAAATTTCACAACAAAGCCCTTATATCGGATCTCATTCATAAACAAAAAATCAGCTCTAGATGCAATATACGATATTTCACTCCCCAAAAAACTTCAAAAACTAGTTTTCACTCAAAAAATCTAAATAAATCTAAATTAAATTTAAGAAAATTTAAGCTAAGAGGCGAACCTGAAGATAAATATGAAATATTAGAGAAAAGATACTCCGATATAACACCTCAGTAGCCAAACAAGCAACCCGGGAAGAATTTCGAGCAACCAAGCAAGAAAACGCAGCAGCCGAGACAAAGAGATAGTATCCAAGACAAATCGAAGTAGAGATTAGAAAACGAGCACAAACTGCAAACCCTAAGCGCTATCGCGGCCGAAAGCCTTTCGCGATTTTGAGAGGAGGAGAAGACTCGGAAAGAGGGAGAGGCGGCCGAAAATTCCAATTAATTTTATTTAATAATATTTAATTTTAGTGTGTGTATAATATGTATA